ATTTTTTGTATTCATTGAAACTACAGCTCTCCTTTACTTCTCAGGTTAAGAGATGGTTTCAAATTCTTATTGGAATTGAAGAGAGCATCAGGTTTCACTTATTTTTGATATGTTGTAAATTACACTACAACTTGATCATTCTTTTAACCCCTCTTATTTGGGGTTACATCATATTGATGAGTAGATTGTATAGGCAACGGAGATAGGAGTTTGATTGGATTAAATACTGATAGAGTTCAATTGATTTTAAACTGGATCCTATTATATATATGCATTTGAATGATTTCTACAGTGTTAAACTATCATCACTAGTACAAATTTTATTATTAGATAGAACAGATTATGATCCTTACTTTCGAATTCAATGCCATTGTTGATCATATCCAAGAATTAGAAAAGGAGGTTTCTATGTTTGGATACTAATTTCGTCCCCAGAAATTATAATTTACTAGTTTATACCATAGTTAAACAGCATTATACCATATATGTATATGCATATGCTTTTGTATAAATATAACAATATAATATAGCTCCTTACGTGAAAGAAATATTCCATTCTATAGCTCCTCAAAGATATGATACATGGAAATTACTTCATGAGATCAGATCATCAGAAGCCAGCTGCACAGACAAAATTCCCCAGTTATATATATACATACTCTTATATATCAAGAAGTGAAGCCTTCAAGCTCCCCCAAAATCCTCCAATATTTCCATATATATATATATTTGAATTACTTCATATATATGTATGGTAATAATTAGCTGAAATATTGGAAGCCTTTGAGGGAACTTGGAATGCTTCTCCTGCATATTCATCTCTTCACTCTACACCACTCTCTCCTTCCCTCATGTTCCTGAGTTTACCATCTTGGCTTATATATATATATATATATATGTTCTTGTAGTCTGCTATTTACTAATTGAAATGAATGGTGGTGCATGCATGAGAAGATGCCTATAGCCTAAAAATCCTGTGAAGAATAATACCTACTTCAAGAACAATAGAATTTCTTCAATGGGAATTCTTAACCTACAATTTGCTATATATTCAACTCATCATTCTCACCTCCATTTAAGTGCTTACCTAGACTTGGGAAAAATACGAAAATGAATAGTGGGGCATGCATGGGTTGATGTATGTATTCCCGTAGCCTAAATCCTTTGGAGAATAAAGCATATATATATATATACACACACACACACACACACACGTGTGTATATATATACCCCAGAGTTTTTGGTGGATTGATTCCTACTTGAAGAGAAGAGAGAATTTCTTCAAATGGGAATGTCAACCCACAAATTTGCTACATATTCAACTTACCATTCTCAACCATGGATTAGTGGTTTGGAGATTTTGGGATCCAATTCTCACAACCATGAGTTTGGCATGTTGAAAAAATGAACCACTTAGAAATAGTTGACGAAGGTTTGTCCAATCTATATATACATATGTACACACACGCAGACACTTGTACAAACTACATATACATCATAATTCCTAGCTAATTCCTTTTTTTTTTTTTTTCATTAACACCCTAAATTCCCATTATATATATATATATATATATGTAACTCTTCATCATATATCCTGTATATACTTACACCATAGGTAAACTAATTTACCTGCTAATTAAGCAAAAGAAACCCTTCCAAGAATATTTCCCTTCTTTTTCTTGCTAGAGCTTTTGATTTCATCAAACAAATTAGAAGGAGAAGTTATTACTTGACCCAAATAAGTAAAGCATGCATGCATAATTAACATACACTTCACCCTCCAATCATTTTCTTTTCATAACATATATGTATATACACATACACATACACATACACATACAGTTATACTCACACATGCAGACTAGAGATATGATACACAACAGAACTTGCAAGGAAAGTAATGAGATCAAATCATGAAAAAAGCAGCTGCACATATAAATATATGCTCTCTCAAGGAGTGAAGCCTTCAAGCTCCCCCAAAGTCCTCCAATATTTCCATACACATTTTCATTACTTCATATGTATGTATGGTAATAATTGGCTGAAATACTGGAAGCCTTTGAGGGAAATTGGAATGCTTCTCCTGCATGTTCATCATCTCTTCACTCTCTTGTGACTACTCTCATGTTTGTTCCTTTTAAGTTCTACCATCTTGCCTTTATATAGAAATGATTGTGGTATTATTACATATATATCTATATGTTTAAAAGATACGATCGAATACTTTATTTTACATTGTCTCACATATCTTTTTTAAATAATGTCGAATTTTATATACGCGAATATATACTTATGCGGCTCTCTGATTGAGTTTCGATTTATATAATCTAAAAAATATTAATATCAAATTATCTAATTTTTTACTAAAAAAATATTTGTTCATATATTTAATTATTTTAAAAATATATTAATTTATTATTCATACATTAATATTACTCGAGTTCTCTAAACTAATCATGTGCAGGTTAAAGGTCAAATTTTTTGATCGTTTGTATATTATTTTAAAATTTTAAAATAATCAGTTTAACTTATTATCTAATATCGTATTGCAGTTAAAAGTCTAACGTTCAAATCATAATTCTCTATTCTCTATTAAATATTAAGTTAGTATATAAAAGTTTGATATGTTTACGCATAATTTACATTTTTAATCTGGTTGATTTGTGTCGGTTTAATTTTTTTAGATAATAAGTTCAATCTATTATTTACGTGAGACACATTTAGTGTTCAAATATTGATTTCTCATTTTCTATGAAAATGTGTTTTCAGGTATGTATTTGATTTATTCTTTTAGTGGGTGAGCTTACACATGAAGAGACATGTTAAAAGTACAAACAATAATTTGAAAATAATAAGTTAAATTAATTATCTAATTAGTGTGTATTGATATATGCAGCCTATACATATACATGTGCGTGCTTGTACATAAATGTATACAGTACATATATATATATATATATATATATATAGAGAGAGAGAGAGAGAGAGGAATTTTGGGTGGACTTATCCAAACTTCAAGAGACAAGGGAATTTATCTCTTGATGGGAATTTCAATCTTTTAATTTGCTTCATCTTCAAACTTATCATTGTCAACTCCAGTTAGTGGCTATCTAGATTTTGGGATCCAGTGCTTGCCAATTAGCCATCAGTTCTTTCAAACCAAGAAACAATTATAATTTTTTTAACAGAAGAAGATATTTGCTACTTGATATTCATTCTAACAGTGATTTGCCTCTAAATTAAAATGAATGGCCATTAACGAACTAATGAATACTTACAAACTGTGGGTTGGATGACCACCATTTAATCTCCAAGCCCCAGAAGTTGTTTCAAAAGGATAACCATGGATTTGCTAACTTTGAATCAAAACCATTACCAGGTTATAATGTTGTAACCCACAATTTTTCTTGCTGAAAGTAATAAGAAAAAGTAAACTTACTGGAGTATAAAAAGGAAGAATTATAAGAATAAGTAATAGTTCATTAGGGATTTGTTAGTAATGATGTCTAATGGTTTAATAACAAAGCAAATAGTCAAAAATTTACCAAAGCAAAAACAGGGTTAACCAAGAAGAACCAGAACAAGGTAAGCATAAACTTTTGAAAGTGTGGTTGTGCACCACAAAGACGAGCCTATGCGTTTTGTTTATTTGAACCCAAGGAAAATCATTAACCATAATCATACAATCTGGAAGACAGTTTTCATTCTAACACCATATTCTGAATCCCACTTGCAAAGATCATACAAAACGGAAAAGTTTCTTTGCTTTTGAAGGCAAATTATTGTTAGACATCAGTGCTACTTGCTTCAATTGGTAATGTTAAAAAGGCATCCCTCTTGACTTTTTTAAAAATAAAGCAACTCAATATTCTGAAGCAAAGGAATTTTACAAAGAATCTGCAAACAATCACGCGATAACGAATCATATTGCCATGAAAGATGGTAAAACATATCTACACCAATTCCTTCAGGAAGAAGTTATGATTCCTTGAATAGCACAAGCTGGAGAAGGTTCTTTTGTACCTATTCTGACTTTGAAGTGTAGTCTGTTCCAAATATATCTTCAAACACCTTCTCGTGCTTCGTTTCACTAACCAGGGAAGCTGATACTCTGCTCATTGTACTCGTAATGTTCCCAGTGTCCACTGAAATTTAGACAACTTGAACTGCTCTAGTTGATCAAAATAGAACAAAACTTTAGATGTACTCTACCAACCAATCCTGCAAACAGTAAGTATCCAACTGATAACGACAATAAAAATATTGTCCATCTTCCTAGTATCCAATCCCACCAAGTTGCATCGCAGATCATTATGACACACACATATATATCAGAATGAGCTCGCTTAGAGGCTCGTAAATATTCCCATTATCACAAACACAAGTTGCATATATCTTCCATTCAAATTTGAATTCAATCATTGATTCCAACCGTCAACACGTAGGGCAGAAAAAATGCAGGTGCATATGTTCAAGTGATGGGAAATTTGTTTATCTCAAAAAAAAAAAAAAGTGATGTGAAATTTGTAGAAAAGTTAATCCAACATGATTCTTTTCTTGGATGATGAATTGTTCTATTTTCATGCAATGAGCCTTAGAAAAAATTGTTATTTACATAACATAAACGATTGGGAAATATAGAGTAAAAGATATGAAGTGCAACTAGGTGGGAGAACATCTATAGATTCTATGCCCACAACCGCGACCAAAAATGGATGGTTTAGTTGCATGTCTTAGTTCAGACAAAATACTGAAAAAAAAATTAAAAGAAAAAGTTCTAGAAAAACATAAATAGATTCAAAAGCCTGGTAAATGGTAATAGGCAGTCTAACAAAAATCTGAATTTACCAACTTGCGCGTCGTCTGGCAATATCCCAGA